ATGCAGCTGAGATCTTGTTGGAAAAACAATAATTTTTGATTTATTCAAATCCTTTCCTTGGTGCCCTAAAGTATTCAAACCACTTGATGTATTTTTTTCTCCCCAACCTCATGACAACCTTTAAAATCAATATCTTCTATTACTTGGTTTTTGTTGCTTTTCCTAAATAAGAATCTGAAAACGGTATCAAAGTTTATATTAGCCTCCCTTAGCCAAATACTTTGTTCAACTATTATTCACTGAAGTTACAATATGAGCCTTTTGGAGTTTGTTTCTTTCAGCATGATGCATTTAGATCTCAAAATGTATTTTTGTTGTTCTTTGCAAAGTAGCTTAAGCCTCAATTGGACTGAACGAAAAAGTGGATTTACATTTTTTTTTCTACTGAAAAAAAATTTGTTGGAGTTTTCCCATCAACCCTAACCAACTTTCCTGTTGTACCATCAACGTGTCATGTTGGGATAGCCTTTGCTCTTAATTATTATTTTTTTATTTTTTTATTTTTTTGTCGTCATTTATGAAATTTGAGACCACTGCAACAGAGCGGTTTAGGTTTACACTGACATTAAATGACGTACGCCTCAAAAATGCCATTTTTAGGACATTAGAGTAAACACGTGCACACCGCACTTTTCAGATTTTTTCAAAAGAACGGAAAAAATGTTTGTTTGTGAATCTGAAAATCGCATATAATTCTCATTCGACTTCACAGTTGCACACAGTTTTGAGCTGTACACACACATTGATAAAAAAAAAACTGAGTAAAAACATGAATAGGTTTAGAAATGTACCTTGAAAACAGATGTTTGAGTGATGGTACTCGTGGCTCGCACATGTTTCTAGTTTTGCTTTCTTATTGAACAACAATGCTTGCAGGGTAAAGAAGGCATAATGGCAGAGAACATTCTGGATCATTAGCTTTATTGGCTACACCTGGGTTCATGCGCTCTCCGGGGAGCAGCATCCCCTCCTCAAGTTAACAGCAAACCAAGACGAATCTGAATACAACTGTTAAAAAAAAAAACATAATTTAATACACAAGCCCTGATTACAGCCTCAGAGGTGATAATCATTGTAACCCAGTTGTAAAAAGATAGCTGATTTGTTTTTTATATATATATTTTTATACATCTCTACACAAGACTAAACGCAAGATTCCCAGGTGCTGTGACGATTAATAAAGTATGAACATCAAGGTCTTGGTTTCTCCTCCGTCTCCCCTGCATGCTCCCCTTCTCTCCCTCCAAGCGCCCTGACAAGCTTTCAGCACCACGGACAGCAACAATGAATCAGAGCTGCTGTGACACGAGACGTTCCTCCTGTGTGGAAACTGCAGCATGAGGAACCATTTCCTGCTCTGACCGGGGCCGGATCCATCTGAACCGGCTCTCTCTATAAGTGAAATTTCTACATGTCCCGCTCCTTCCAAACTCAGCACGAATACTCCTCGAACACATGGGTTGGATAGACCAAAAGTCTATGTTTTTGTTGGGGGGGTTTTCTCTCTTTTTTTTCTTTGTTTTTTTTTTTTTTTTTTTTTTTTTTTTTTTTTTTTTCTTTGGGGGGGGAGAATTCCTTTGTTTTTTTTTCAAAGGG